GGCCCGGGGCGCGAGCGGCCCGGCCGAAGGCGGCGCCCGCGTGATCCCCCACCACCACCGCCCAGCCGCATATCATTCCTCCCCCGACACCTTCATCCTCTCCGCCGCCGTTTCCGCCGTTCTCCGGCGACTGCGGCGGATGGGGGCCGCCTCGCGGCGCCCTCTCCCTTCCTCTCTCCGCCTCTTCCTTCCGCTGCTGCAGAAAGAGGAGACGGCCGTCCACGCTCCCTCCCTGCCGACCATGGCTCTAACGACTGCCGTCAGGGAGAGATCTTCTTCTACTTCTCGCCTCAGGACACCGCGCTCTTCTGCCCACGTGGGACAGAACTCCAGCGTGTGCTGCGCGGTGCCCCGAGGCTCGTCGCAGTGGTGACACTGCGTCGTCGGCTCCTTCCCGATGCGACACAGGTACTCACCGAAGCACCTGTGGCCGGTGAACACCTGTGTCAGGTGGAACGAAAGTCCGCCCCAACCCATGCCGGCCCACTCCAGGCAGGGGAGGATGGTCTCCGTGGTCCGGGTCTCCTTGGTCGGCGGGTCACTTCGCAGGCTGTCGCGCCATTCGTGGAAGCCCCGCCGACGGGTCACTTCTCTAAAGAGGTTGGCGGGCTGCGGGGTTACAACATCCCCCCGGAGCCTGGTGGCCTCGGCCTTGGCGAAAGACTCCTCCAGGGCGTCGTGCTCCAGCGGGGGGATCCCCTCGAGGACCGCCAAGGCGTCGCGCGCCACGGTCCTGTAGGCCCTAGCTATTCTTAGGACCAGCCGCTTTTGCATTCTGTGTAGATTCTGGCGAATCCTGCAGCTGGCCCGGGGCTCCCCATGTCATATCGGGACCCCGGACAGGGCCACGTGCACGTACGCACACCTCATTCCATCACCCGGACCAAGAAGGTTGGGCATCAGACCGAGCAACGCGTTGGCCCGAAGACCCAATCGCGGGGCCAGCCGGTCAAAATGATCGGCAAAGCCCCAGCGAGCATCCAGGGTGAGGCCCAGGTACTTGAGATTGGGCCCCACCCGGATGCGGACCACGTCCACCACGACCCAGGCCTCGGAAGGCGCCCCGCCCGTCCCGTCGTGGAAGAACATAACTTCCGATTTGGCGGGGGCAACCCTCAAACCTAGGTCCTTCACCTCGCCGACGACGCAGGCCACCGCGACGTTTGCCATCGCGACGGCTCTTCTCCAGGTCGTGCCTCCGGCCACCACAAACGTGTCATCTGCATAGCAGACGACGTGGCAGCCGGGGGGCAGGGCTACGCGGAGCACGGCGACGTGCGCGACGTTCCACAGCAGTGGGCCCAGCACGGACCCCTGCGGAACGCCGCACGACACGTCCCTCAGCTGCTGGAGCCCCGCTTTATCGTGGAACTCCAGCTGTCTGTCCCGGAAATAGTCTTCCATGATGGCGACCAGGTAAGGGGACAGGAGGAAGTGCTCCCTCAACGCCCCCACCACACGGCCCTACGGCAGACTATTAAAGGCGTTGGCGATGTCCAAGGACACCGCCAGCGCCACCTCCCCATCCGCAGTTAGCTGGTGACTCCCAGTTCCTCGGTCCACCCCTCCGGCAGACCCACCCTCTCCCCTATCTCCTTGTCTC